CTCGGTAAATCCACGTACCAAGCAAAAAATACCAGCTTTTTGAATTTTTTGAATTTAAACACTCGATTTGTAATAAAGTACGTAGGATCTAATTAATGTCATGAGAGTTGGTTCTGGCATGTTGGTAGCAACTTAGTTCCTGTTTTTAAGAGGTCTTTGGTTCAAATATTCGTTCATTAACTTATTTGAATTCAAAATTCAACTATAAATTTCGTTCAAAATATTCTCGGTATTTATCGGTATTTCTCGGTAACCGTGGTAACCGCGTTTACCAGTCCCCCTCGGTAAAAATGCCTCATTCGGTAACCAAAACCTTGTGCGGCACTATGCATGGAATCGATCATCGCTCCTACTCGTCGACAATACTCGAGTCCGCCGCGACCATGGCCATGCCGACATCTTTGGACATCCGCTCCGTCGAGAGTTGGTCCTCCACTAGCCGGTGCTCCTCGAGGTGTACTAGGTTGTACTTGCTGCTCCACCTGAAGAAGATGAAACACAGAGACCGGCAGCTCCTCTAGTGGTGCAGCGCTTCCTCCTCCTTCGCCTCCGCCAGCACCCGGTCGTAGTGCTGCCTCGGTTATACAATGCGGAACCTGGACACCAGCTGTCTTCCTATGATGCAGGCTCTTGCTCCACACTGACGCTAACTCAGGCTGGACGGAACGAGCGGGCTTTTCGGCCCGCTCGTGGCCGTCGTGCTGCTGGTGGACGGAGTCTTCCCCAACCTCTCCTTCTCCCCTTGCTGGATCAAGGCATAGGAGACGTCACCGGGCTGCATGTGTGTTGAACGCGGAGGCGCCGTGGTTCGGCGCTTAGATCGGAATCAACCGCGATCTGAATCGCTACGAGTACGACTCCTTCATTCGTGTTCTTGCAACGCTTCCGCTTAACGATCTACAAGGGTATGTAGATGCACTCTCCTTCCCCTCGTTGCTAGATTACTCCATAGATTGATCTTGGTGATGTGTAGAAAATTTTAAATTTCTGGTACGATCCCCAACAGGCGGCGCCCCTCGCCGGATCCGGCAGCCGGCGTTGGGCAGCTCCTCGCGCTGGAGGGCAAATCGGGGTCACGGCACAGCATCCCTCGCCGGGTCCGGCAGCTCGCACTGGGCGTCTCCTCGCGCGGGAGCCCAAATCGGGGCCGCAATGCGGCATCCCTCGGCGGATCCGGATGAGGTGGCGGTGCTGGGGCCCAAATCAGGGCGACAGCGCGGCATCCCTCGCCGGAGGTGGCGGCGCCTGGAGCACATGCACGCACCGACGTTGACGGCTCGCGTGGTGGTGAGCAACCGCGTGTGGTGCATCGAGGGCACCACCACCGTGGTGGAGTGGAGCGGGGAGCGCCGGGGCTGGCTCGAGGTGGGCCCTTACCCGCCTGGGCTCGAGGCCGGCGCAGCGTGCGGAGTCGAGCCGGCTTTTCGGCCCGCTCGGGGCCCCTTCTGGACCGGACCGATCGGTCCTAGCCCGATGAAGAAATTGGCCGGTCGGGTTACCGAATTTCAGCCCGAAATTTACTCGGTCCGGTCCGGTCTTTAACCGGTCCGACCGAGCGGACCGAGGCTGCAGATTGTTCCTCGACGTTGCAGCCGCCGGCGACGCCCCGGCCGTGCCCCGCCCCGGCGCTTGTTCACCGGAGTCAAGTGTAACTCAGTCAATTGACTCAAAGACAGGAGCAAGAGGTAGAAGAAGACTCAGGTGACACGCTGTTATTTAAGTTAAACAGAAAAGAGAAAGAACGAGAAAATGGGATTAGATCCGATAATCACGGTACCATCCCACGATTTACTCCACGCGCTGCCGTTTCCTTTTATTCGCGACTCAACAGTTTGATCCGATAATCACGCGCCATCCCACGCTGATGTTTCCCTTTATTCAATTGAACAGAAAACTGAAGGAAACATCTATTCCTACATAAGAGGCTTTACCAAATCTGTACGTGCAAGTTTCGTTTGGATTGTGACAGCCCCACGATTTTAGGGAACTGCAATCAAATTCAACTGCGTCCATAAAGTTTACATCAAAATTGTTCGTTGAAATATATATATAGCACTGCTTAAAACTGAAAGAACGAGGGAAAGTGGGAAACATGGTTCGATCCGATCATTATGGCGCCATCCCATGATTAACTCCACGTCAAATTTGTTCCAATAATCACGGCAAGGCCCGCAGACAGCCAATCGTGGCCTCATGCACCCATTACTTGCATGCTCTACCCTCAACGATGGTGACCACGGCCGGTCCTCTCGGTCCGGCCCGGGCTTGAGCGCCAGCGGTCCGGTCCCTGAAATCAAGACCGGCCAGCTGGTCGGTCCGGTCCGGTCCGGCTCGCCGGCGGCCGGTCAAAACAGCAGCTCGGTCAGGGCCCGGACCGTGTCCACCCTGAGTGGTGACCGGCGCCATCGAGTTTGAGGAACGCCGCGGCGGGCACGCGTTGTGGGTGTTCGACTTCAAGTCCAAGAAATGGACCGTGATGCGCCCTCCTCAGCCGCTCACCGGCTTCATCTGCTCCGACGAGCTACCACTTGCGGCAGCGTGCGGGATCCTCTCCTCAGACGGCTGCGGGAGCGAGGAGACGGGGGAAGGGCCTGGGCGGTATGGAGAAAGGATGTTGGGGGTGTTCTTGCTTTGACCCATCTAGCGCTCTTCCTGAGAAAACGTTACGCCACGTCAGCGAAAAGCGGGCCCCATCTGTCATAAACACACTTAACTGAGCCAAATCCGTCAATCAGTGGTTTTTGCAAAACAATTACGCTAGACGTGGTGCTTTCTGCAGCGAATCTGTATCCTGATGTTTTTCGCAAACCTAGCCCTTAAAGTGGTGGTTTTATGCAATTTACTCGTGTAAGTGTAACAAAACTATATGCTCCTCTCTTACTTAATGGATGAGGCAAAGCTTATGACTCTGTTTCAAAAAAAAAAACCATCTTATCAACAAATCTAACATAACTAGTTAATTATTCTTTGTGAATCAGATATAGGGAGAATACGTGGAGCGCCTAGGAAAAAGTTTCAATGAATATATGTAGACTAAAACCGAATGAAAATAGCATGCAAGAATAAAATAATTTTAAAAATATGTCGTCTATTCCCTCCGTTTTGAATTACCTGTCGCGGGTATGGATGTATCTAGATGTATTTTAGTTCTAGATATATCCATTTCTGCGACGAGTAATTTGGAACGGAGGGAGTAGTTGATAAGTAAATAGAGTGTGGCTCCAATTTTGGTACAAATAAAAAGGAATGAGCTTAACTTTCTAACTGGAACGATTCTCTGCCCTAACTTATAATGTTAAAAACAGATGAGTGGATGCAGGAAATGGTTGGGTTTTCGTACGAGCAAACTTTTTTTAGAAATCTTAATTATGGATTTAATCAGGCTGTTATGGGTTGAATGTGTAAAAGAAGTAGTATACTGATAAGAAGAAATGTCGAGCTCCATGGTCCTCGTATTTGTTTTCATTTTGAAATTTCAAAAAATTCTAGAAAACAAATCACATTGTAATACAGATGTATACTGCACGTGGTATTGCTCATGAGAAAATGCATCGACGCACGAGGTACACAAAAATAAAAATAAAATGTGATTTTGAAAACAGTGAACATTATGTGTACTGTTCACTGTTAAAACCAACAATTTTCACTTTCCTGTACAGCTCGCGTGCCAATATTTTTTTCCTCGTGAAAATTTACACACTTGTAGTACATCCATATGTCAATGTGGAACTGTTTTCCAGAATCTGATGATATTTTGAAACGTGTCTTTTTGAATGTTTCAAAAAAGGGCTCCATGGAGCTTGACCACTGCGCTCGTAGTCCAAAGTAGCGATGGTGCTGCAAAAATAAATAAATAAATGTTCTCTTCTCTTTTGTAGTTACAGTCTTACAGACATAATCTAATTAGGTAGAAAATGAGATGAAAAAAAAAAGATCCGTGAACTATATCCCCTTTTTGTTTCAGGGTTTGCATCGAAA